TTTTTTTTTTTTTTTTTATATTTTTTTTTTTTTTTTTTTTTTATGTGCCACGGCTCTAAATCTCCGCTCTCAGATTTCTCTCACAGTGCTGCCAGCGCTGATCAATCAATTTTGGAACCAGTCTAGGAAATTAAAGGCTCTACCTTCCTATAGTTCACTGTCCGAGAATCAGCTGATTCGGTTCGCTTTCTGTCCATCGACCGTCGATGCTGCTCACGAGCGGCAAGGAATAACGCGCCGAAACTCCTATTCGTTATATTTTCCCGGTATTTTCGTCTTACGAATGATATTCCACATCTACAAGGGCACGTCAGATTTCTAGAGGATTACGGTGCTACGGAGTTTGCGGACATGTGGCTGCATAGAAATAGACACGTGAGAAGGGGAAAGGACCGCGTATGGATGGGACAAGTCGTGTCTATTTTTACGAGAAAGACTGCGTTTACGCTTCCTGGTGTCATTTTCTTCCAAATTCTGGCTCTGTGAGAATCCGTCGGTAGATCAGTCGAGATAATGGAGAATCTACGTGAGTAATTTTCCACGCGAGACTTGACGCGACAGACTTGATGAATTCTTCGATGATTTCTATCTCGTATTCCTAAATGTCAAAAGAAAAGAATTCAAAAAATATTCGGATGTTTACATACAAGAGATATCGATGTACCTGTGCGCGTGTATGACATCGCTATCTTGAAATTATTTCGTAAAAAACTTTACAGAAGAAGCATATGCTACATTACTGTCATTTATCAATTGATGCATTCATATATTTATTTCATAATTACTTCTTGCAGCTGAGGAGGTAACGAAGTCGAGCTTTCGACGTAAGGTGTGGGATTATATGACAAAGAACGAACTGGTGAACTTTCCTGTTAACATATACAAGCGTATACCGAATTTCAAAGGTGCAGCAGAGGCGGCCCAGCGATTGAGTGAACTAGATGAATTCAGGAAAGCCAGAGTCATAAAGATAAACCCAGACAAGCCACAAGAACCAATACGATTTTTAGCTTTGGAAACCAATAAGGAAATCATTGTGCCTATCCCCAGGTTGAGGACTGGCTTGTTCTTACACGTTACACCAGTTGCGGGAGCGTCGAAAGAACAGCTGAAAACCTTGGCTTCCATGCGCGGTCTAGAGCAAGCAGGTAAACCACTTGGATTGGATTCGCATATTAAGGTGAATATTTTATTACATAATTCAGAAGTAATGATTGATTTAGTGTCGATAAATAAAGATTTATATTAATAAAGATACAATATTCAAATTCTCTTAACATATTTTCATAAAAATTATTTAAATATTTGCTCCTTTTTACATGGGATGTATATTGTTTATTGTCTTTATTCTTCACTCATTTAGGTAGATCTTGTTGTGCTGGGATCCGTATGTGTCAGTCGAGATGGATATAGACTCGGTAAGGGAGAAGGTTTTGCTGATCTTGAATTTGCAATGATGATGAGAATGGGCACGATAACGGGGAACACGATTGTCGTTACAACGGTGCATGATTGTCAAATCGTGGATTATCTACCACCACGATTGTTCAAGGAATACGACGTGCCAGTAGACATAATCGTTACGTCGACGCAAACTATATATGTAGAATCAAGACTGAAGAAACCGACTGGCATTCTGTGGCATATGCTTAGTGAAAGAAGACTCAAAACCATGCAAGTATTAAAGCAGCTGAGAGAGATAGATGAAAAGTATGTATTAAGTTACCTGACTCGCATTAAATAGACTACTTCCTGTAAATACACGATTATTCTTTCATAGAGATGGCAAAATCATAGTACTGAAGGAGATTGATTCCGACATCGAGACGCGCCAGTATATCAAGAATCGCGTTAAATATCCGAAAAATAAAAGGCGTTTTAAGAGGGATGCGTCTAATACAGAAAACTTTGTCGCGGAAGATGGCAAAGTTAAAGTTGACAAGCCGCGTTTTCCACGAAGACGAACGTATAAAAAAGTAAAAATTGAAGAAGAAAATAACTTTCCTAACATTGAAGTACAAGTAAGTGCCTTTTATATATATCGAATTTTACAGTAATATTTTTACTGATAGGACTTTGTGAAGCGAAAGGTTGTATGGAATTTAATTAAAAAGAGATTTTTTTGTCTTTTATCTATTTACATTTCTATATTTAAAAAGAAAAAAATAATTTTTGTTACAGACAAAGGCGGAGAACAGTACTAAGAACGCGTCCCGACGGCGTAAAAATCTTCGTCCTAGAACGAAAACACATATCGACTTCTCGTTGAAGCTATCTAACATCTCGTCCGGCGTAAGAGTCCGCGATCTAAAGAACGCTTTATTGATGCGTGGTATTAAACCGAGCGAGATAACTTGGCAAGGCTACCGCGGCATCTGTTATCTTCACTTCAGCAAACTTAGAAGTGAGGCCGCTCTACCAGATCAGCCAGTTCAGGTAGATTCGATCGTGGCAAATCTGCAACAATTCCGAATCGGTGAATTCGCGAATGACGAGGAGGGATTTATATATGTAGAACCCGCGAAACCGATTTCCAGAATCGAAGTGACCGATGTTACAACTGTCTAAACGTTTATCGGAACCTACATCAAACGTGTACTTACGTGTTGTTTTTTGGCTGTTTATATATCAACGTCGAAATGTAGGGACATCTTCCAAAGTCTTTTTTTTTGTATGAGAACTCTTCATCATGTATACAATCCCAGGCAAAGCGTACTTCTCGTTAATACAAATTGTATATTCTTTAATGAATTTCATTGAAGCTACAATAATGTAATTCATTTAATTAAAAGCTAAAAATTAACTTCCTTATTTTGGTTTTATATATTAATTGGTGAACCATCGCAATTATCAACTATTAACTAATAAGGATTATTAATTAATGATTGGTAATTACAATAGTTTATTAATTAATATATTAAAAAAATAAGGAAGCTAATTAATCAAGCGTCATATAAAATTAAGTCGGCTAAGCATGACATCAATGTGAGAGGATAATGTATATAAATTACTAGTTTAATTTAAATGACTGGAAGAAATTGCGCAAGAATTCTGGGACGTAGTGTAATATCTTTTTTACAGATATTAACTTGAATTTCTAAGCATAGGCATGATGTATTTTTTATACATTTTGGATAGTTATTTTACATATTGCTTATATCTTACTTAAATCTGTCTATTGGAATTGCGCTTGCGAATCGTTCCAAGGTAATAGATCGATAATGACGATTCGCATTTCGTTTAAACTGAGATGTGATATATATATATATATATATATATATATCTGGCGCGAACATTGAACTATTAGTAGTTGTTAGAACATAGATATACCGCATATTTTTGGTGAATAATTTTATTTATACTACTTTTGTATTAATAAGTCGTTATTATTCGACGAGAATATATCGGGTAACTTTCCAACAAATTCGTCGTAACGCGCATAAACTAATCTGTGATCAAAAGATATTTAGAAGTAATATAGTTGGTCCATAGAGAAACAATAGCGCAAGATCGTTCATGAGAGATAAAAGATTATTATAAAGATCTTATTAAATTAACAAATGTACCTCTGCGCTATTCCAAAACTAACTACTTTTCTTTAAATTTTTTTATTAACTCTTTGTAGTTCTAAGTGGGTTTGATGTAATGTTTCACGTAATTCTCATATCTCATGCGTGACAATATAAACAGTAATCTATATCTTTGGAATCTTCATAAATCTCTCCAGATATAAATCGATCATTAGATAAAATATTACATAAAATTTGATTAATATACGAGAATATATTAAAGCAAAAGATAATTCTTGAAATTGT